AGCAGCAGAATCAGGAGTCTACTCGCGGCTGCGGCGGCCGCGGTCCCGGTGGCCGCCATCCCTCGCCGGGTCGCGCTACAGCACGGCTCTCAAGCTCACACACACCGACTCCGCGCTTCTCCCACCGCGACCCAGAAGCATCTGAAGCCCGTTCGCCGCCGCCCCGGGGGTTTTACCCCAACCGGAACTGACTTCACAAACCACGCCCTCCGTCTGCGGCGCCCAATGCTAGCTCGCAGAACCTTATCAAGACACCGCCCCTTGTTCAGTCCACACCAATCAGGGGATGGAAGAGCCAACTCCTCCCGCCCGGTTAGCCGCGCGCCCCCGCCCGGCCCCGCCCCCAGCCGTGGACGGCCCCGCCCCCGCACTGGACCTAGTGGCCGCGAGGCGCGAGGTTGGGCGCAGAGTGGGCCGGGGGCAGCGGTTTTGCAGCCGCGGGGGCTAACTCGGGCCTGTAGCTCCTCGCTCGGTTGTCTATCCTAGCCGCGCTTGTCCGTCAGCCTGCAGCCTCCTAGTAGGGTCACGCCCCGGCCCCCGCCCCTGCGGGGTATTTTTCAGATTCCATTGAGTACCACCCTCTTTTCGGTCTGGAAATGGTTTTATTAAAAACAGGATCACTTGTTAGGAGTCCAGGATGGTTTGCCAAAGGTCGTCCTCCGAGGCGGGGGAAGGACTAAAAGAGACAGCCTTCCTCCTCCCCCGACCCCTGCGCAGGGCGCGCCCCTCTCCCGTGCGCTGCTCCTCCCAGCCTGCTTTGCCCTTTCCTCGCCTCTAAACCGGCGGTGTTTCTACCCTGATGACCTCTGTCCCTTGGTTAGACCTTGTCCTTACCCTTCCTTCCTAGCAGTCGCCCAGGTCAGGGATAGCTGCCTCCCATGGATACTAGTGGTGCAAGGACCATGCTGACCTTAAAGCCCAGGCTCCTTTCCTTGGGTATTTTAAGAAAAGATCATGTTTCTTTCTTCTTCAGTTTAAGAACACTGGCATGAAACCTCTCTCTGCCTTCTTGCCCCACTGCATTTCCACTTCACTGGAAAAACGTTCTGCTGCCCCGTTTCACAATTGGCATGACCTTGCTACATCGAGGGCTCCACTGGTTTTGTTTCCTTTCAGTAGCCTGTGATTTATGTACCACCCTCTGCAGAGACCTGGGACTAGTCCCTTTAGGTTCAACTAAATGAATGGAGAACAGAGTCCCTACCCCCAGGACAGTAGAAAGGAAGAGACAATGTCTGCAGAGGACAGAGTAGGGCAGTGAGATGTCGAGCCTTATTCTGCGCCACTCCCCTACATGCCCAGTTCTCTGTGGTGAGGCTGGCTCTGTCCTATTCCCCAAAGGCAACCAGCACCTTTCCATTTCAGAGCCCTTCCTAACACTGCTCCTGTGCCTGAAGTATTGTCCCCTCAACATCTACCTGTTGGAAACATTTTCTCTCTTCCTCTGTTCAATAGGATGTAATGGCATCCAGTTCCGAATCCTCAGAGGGTTGTTTCCCATTATGGCACATACTTCCCTAGTTATTGCCATCTCTCTCTTAGGCCACTGACAAGACTTGGGTAGTCATGCTTTCCTTGCTGTGCAGACTTCAACAAATGTTTCCCCAGTGTTATTTAACCCATTATCTTGGGTGCTGGTCCTAGTTCTGGAACTGGCATGAATTTAGCTCTTGCGCTGGGCTGAATTTTATCCCATTCCCCCACCAAAGTCATGCACTGAAGTCCTAACCCCTAATGTGATGGTATTTGTAAATGGGGCCTTTGGGAGGTAATCAGGTTTAGATGAGGTAGATGAGGTCGTTGTGGAAGGGGGTCATGATGGAATTAATGTCATTATAAGAAAAGACATCAGAGAGCTTACTCTTGCCTTGTCTCTCCCTCTCTCTCTCCCTCTCTCTCTCCCTCTCTCTCTCCTTTTCTACTGTGTGAGTACACAGCAAAAAGGGAGCCATCTGCAAACCAAGAAGAAGGCCTCACCTGGAAACCAAATTGACACCTTGATCTTGGACTTCCTAGCCTTCAGAACTGAATTCCTGTTGTTTAAGCCACCCAGTGTATGGTATTTTGTTACAACAGCTCAAGCCGACCTATACAGCTGTATACTGATAGACTAGTTCTTTCATCACTTGAGACTTTCTTTTCTTTTCTGTCAAGTGAATATTAAAAGTTGTCAGGCAACCCCTTTGGGTCCCCTCCCACTGTCGGAGCTTTTCTGTCCTCTCAATAAATCATGCTTTCTAAAAAAAAAAGTTGTCTTACTTCACCAGTGTTATTCCATGAAAAATGAACGCACAATGGTGAAAAACAAAAAGAGACTTAAACATAAGAGAGAGAAGCAGGATAAAGCAACATGTTACCAAGTGCAAGTTTATATGAAAGTATGTATGGAAACAGTAGAGTGACTGCATATCTCCCAGTTCTGTTGATCCTTGCATGTGTCATGTTGCCCCCCTGGAACTTGTTTTGTCACTCACAAAATCAGGGACTTGAACTCAGGAATCTCTACATTTCTATTAATCCAAATGCTTAAATAAAAGCAAGTGAAATGACTTGAGTTCAGAGCAGTGGTGTGACTATTTATGCTTTAGGGACTGTATATTCAAGATTGAACTCTAATATCATGAGATGGGACAAGAAATATAGGAAAATTATTCAGGGGGGTCTTCACTCTAAGATTAATTAGGCAGGGCAATCCTTCGGGACCCCTCCTGCTATAGGAGCTTTCGTGTCTTTTTTTTTTAAATTTTTTAATTTAATTTAATTTTTTTTTTAGTTGGAGTCTCACTCCGTCGCCTAGACTGGAGTGCAGTGGCTGCTCACTGCCACTGCAGCCTCAGCCTGCTGGGCTCCAGTGATCCTTCCACCTCAGCCTTCCAATTAGCTGAAACTACAGGCGCACGCTACCACGGCTGGCTAATTTTTGATTTTTTGTAGAGATGAGGTCTCACCAAGTTGCCCAGGTGGGTCTCGAACCCTCAGGCTCAGGCAACCCACTCACCTCAGCCACCCAAAGCGCGGGATTACAGGCTGAGCCACCGAGCCTGGCGATGGAGACTTTATAATGGAACAGCCCTGGTTTAATACAGGTGTTGGAACCACTGTAGTACAGGAAATAAGTATGAATCAATTATATGCCTTGGCCTATTTCTGGTACCCTTTAAATATCTCCTTCCTTCTACCTCAATTCTCTTTTCCCCTCATCCACAGCGGAGTCAGCACTGTTAGTATTAGATTGATGCATAAGTTGTAATGTTTGTTTTTGGCATGGCAACACTGTGGTGTTGGGAGTTTGTCATTTGTCATTTGAAGTGATAATTTTGTGCTTGTGAATATGCCTTGCATTTTGTAGATTTGAAGAAAGTTAGTACTGATTGTGGGCTAAAGAAGATTCAGTGTCAAGTGGGGAAAAAAAAAACAAACACTCCCAACATATTCTGTTTAAGTTTAACAGAGGAGTAAAAGCAGTGGTGGCAACTCAAAATATCTGTGCCAAGTAGGAGGAGAATGCCATCGGGGAAAGCACAGCAAGAAAATGGTTTTGTCGTTTCAAAGAGGGCCACTTTGACCTGAGTGATCCTCCACATTCAGGAAGATCATCAGGCTTTGATGAAGACCGTTTAAATGCTTTAAATCATGATGATCTGCGTCAGTCAACTGTGACCAGTCAACCATCATGTGACATTGGCATTCCATGGGCAAGGAAAAATGCTATGAATTTATGCATCAAACCAATATTTAAGGTTTGGTTTAGGCATTGCCTGCTCATGGAAGTTTTCTGTTCTTCCTCTTGTGCTTCAAGGCTGAATTTGGTGTACCTCCTTTATTCTCCCCCAAACATCCGGTACATATCTCAGTCATACTATTTGTGAACTACTTAGTTAGTATTAGCTTATTTTTCTTACTATCTCCTTATGACGAGTTCCTGGAGGGGACAAACCATGTCTTCTTCATTTCTGTACCTCCATAGACTAGCACTGTGATTGTACTTAATAGATATTCAAAAGATATTTGCTGAATGAATGCAGAACTAAGTGAGCTTTATAGCCCAGTAAAGAGAATAAGACTTACTACTAGGTAAACGTCACCAAGTAACTACCATGCATCTCATGCGGGAGATTTTGCTTGCATTTCACACCTCCATCATCCTCTCATCCCCATAATTTTCTCATCTTCTTTATTTTTGCTAATGGCAGCGTCATCACCATATTCTCCTAGGTCCATGTCTGGACACTTAAAGTTCTTTTTCTTCCTTCTTGCTTCTCCTCCACTCTACTCCACTGACTCCACAAAGAAAGTCATCATTGGCTTAAGAGGAGAACTGGAGATCTTTAGGAAGTGCAGAGGAGGAGGAAGTTGGTTACATCTGTGTAAGGACATTAGGCAAGAATCATAGAGATGATGTCTGAGATTTCCTGGGAATATATACAGGATGTGTATATGTTGTGTCAGGAGAAGACAAGAAGCCTGGAAGAATAAGGCAAGCAATGGCGTGCCACTGGAAAAATAGGAGGCATGCAAAAGAAAATGTGAGTAGTATTTCACTTAATTGGAGCACAGCATTTGTAATACATAATTACAATAGGATGGTTGGTAGGTTTAGCTAAAAGATACTGAGGCATCATAGAAACTTTTGTAAGCCGGGCTCGGTGGCTCAGCCTGTAATCCTGTGCCTTTGGGAGGCTGAGGTGAGTGGATTGCCTGAGCCTGTGGGTTCAAGACCCGCCTGGGCAGCAAGACCTCATCTCTACAATAAATCAAAAAAATCAGCTGGGCATGGTAGCGTATGCCTGTGATTCCGGCTACTTGGAAGGCTGAGGCGGAAGGATCGCCGGAGCCCAGCAGGTCGAGGCTGCGGTGGCCGGGAGCGGCCACTGCACTCCAGTCTGGGTGACAGAGTGAGACTCCAACTCAAAAAAAAAAAAAAGAATTTAATAGAGTTGACTTTTAGGCAACTATATGAGGCAGCTATATGAGGACGCAAGTAGAGCCTGGAGGCAAGGAGGCAGCTAGGAGCGGTCTGTGATCTTGTAGAGAGTCAATATGCAGAGCTAAGAGAGACACGGTGAGGAGGAGGAAGTTGGCAAGACCTCGTGGACTGGAAAGGAGACTGGTGCAAAAGGCAAAATCTGTGGTCTTG